CAAGACGAATGACAGCATAAAGGTAATTTTAACTGCCATAAATTCTGTACCTGCAAACATTATGCCAGGAACCAAGGGACAAATTCCTTGTCTAAGACATGTCTTCACTCATGCCTCTCCTTTACCTAACACACTGGAGGAAAATCAGTTCTCAGGGGTGGATGCTTGGTTGTGTTTTTCTCCAGCATCCTTTGATATTACTCATTTTGATGAGTGACATCGGGATGGGGGCCCTGGCTTCCAGCCCTGGTCAAAGAACTTTCTCTGCTCTCTTCCCACAATGAGACTAAAAAGATGATTGTTTAAAGCAGAAAAAAAAAAAAAGTAAAATTGAGGTAAGGAGACTCTGCACTATTTAGTGAAATCAAGCCCTTCATCAAAACGTGAAAACAGAAAATCTTAATGTCAAAATGCATGGCTTCATTACGAAGAAGCTGAGTCATGAAATTCACTCCTGTGCTCAACTGAACTAGTAGGAGCTCCGGTTGATCAGGTTTACCACAATTCACTAGGATGACATCAGGCTGGAGGTAACGTGCCATAACAGAGCATAGGTTTTGTAGTGAAGATCTGTATTTTGGGCCACAACACTTAACAATGTAACACACTATACATCACTTAACACTCAGACTCCTGACAGAAAGAAAAGTTCACAATTTGTACATTTGTTTGGAGGTTTAAGTATAATAAACCATGTTAACAAATTAACCCAGTCCCTGACATATTGATTCAATTGCTAGCTACCAGATAATATTTGTTCTACCAGTACATGATCAATAAAACATCATTAACATAATGATATAACATCATTTGTTCAGTGTTAATAGATATATTAACACTGATATATTAATATAGATATATTAATATAGATATATTAATAGATATATTAATTCAGTGTTAATTAGATATATTAATTAATAGAAAAATCCTTCTTTCTATGCCTGTAAAAATATCTATGATATGCAATTAATGCAAGCCTTTCTTTCTGGATGATATTAGAGAAGTACCAGAACGAGTCTGCAATCAAGTCCAGGCAACATAAATTGTTTTTATACTTGAATTCATAGGAAAGCTGTTATTAAATGATTAACCTAAACACTGCAATTTAACCTGGCAAAGAAACATGTAGGAAACTTTCCAGAACTGAGAGATTTTGTGACTTCATTCATACAGAGTACCTTCTATCTGTCAGGTACTGAAGTGTGACTGGTGAACAAGACAGAAGTGTTCCTGACATACATGGTCTGGAAGAGGAGAGTGAAATGTAATAATACGGTGCAATATAGAATGTATACAATGAGGGCACTTATCCCAGAGACTGTACGGAGGGGAATTGCTTCATGGAATCTCCCTGCGGGAGCGGAGACCTGAGATGGCTTTAAAAGTGAGTAGGCCTTAACAGAAAGTTTTCCAAAAACATAAGGGAGGGCCAACATACGCCTCAATCTTGTTTAGACTAAAACAAGGAAAACTTGTAGTGAAAAGACACAAGGTGAGACATTTAGGCTAAAGCAGAGTTTCGTTTAAGACACATGATCTTAGTAAAAAATTTTAAATCAAATATTTTGAAGTCAATAATTTTTGAATAATTTAGGAGTATATTTCATAAAACAAGACCTATGGTTTCAAAGAATATATATGAGAGTAAAATTTTAATCTTGATTTTATAATGCCATCCAGTGTTACTTTGCTTTGGAAAAACTGTCAACGTAAGGGAAATAGACTCTTTGATATGGAATGAAAGATACTCCAGAACAACTCTGTAAGAATTTTGTTTTGATTTTTTTCTCCACTGTAATCTTGAAAGATGAAAAGAGAAAATACAAATGCAGTGTCTTTAAAAAAATCTTTTAAAAGATATTACTAATTCTTATTTTCTTGTTCCATGTTATATATTTTTAGTCATCCTTCATTCTGTTGTATTATTAGATTTTACCACTTCCAATTTCACAACTTCATATTAGCAAACAGTACAAGCATCTTGATAGAAGTGTTAGAAATTACCAAACGCTTTCCATTGCTTTGCTTCTGACATATCTAAGGACTCAATTTGTGTCTTTTTGTTCAATAGGCTTTGAAGCTGAGCTTGCTTTGTATGTTCCTGAAATATACGAAACAACCTAAGCAAAGAAAAAATGCTCAATAGGAATGAACACTTTTAGTGGTTCAGGACAAAACAGAGAACAATATATGTTTAATCTTTTATTGTCTTCCCATAACAGACTATCAGCTCTACAAGGGCAAAGCCATGAGCCCATGGAGTCCTCAGTGCCCTGGGCATTGCCTGGAATGTATTCTGTAAAGCAGATGTTTAAAGAGTTAATGAATGAAGAAATGAATGAATAGAAAATGTATCAAAGTGATTTTTAGGTAAAAATAAAAACATATGTTAAGTGCAAGAAATTCATATTGAAAATTTTGTCTCAGACAAGCCTCTGACAAGAATTTGGCAGCTTCAGTTGATTAAATATCATTTGTAGCATTCTAGTATGAGGGTATGGGAAAAGAGTCTATGAGTATTTTGTTCCAGAGCCTTCACAAAAGTCATTGTGGCCAAAGGCAGAGTTAAATCATTTATGATATCAGGACAAAAATCAGCATAGGCATATAATAGAACTGAGTTGGTTCAGTGACCACAGAGAGAACAAAAGTGTAATAGGTGAGCACAGCTGACTGCTACTCTGTTGTTTGATTTCACAGATTGAACATACTGGGAATTATATTTCACTCTCCATTTATAAGGATAATATCAACACTGAACAGATATACCATAAGAGATCTTTGTACTCATTGTGTCAATCCCTTCAATCCCCCTTCCCACAGAAAACTAAATAAAGAAAAGCATAATGTTGTGCTATTAATGGATCTTTAAGAAGACCTGGCCTAAATTCTGAGGCCATGTCAAGAACTTACCTCATTTTATCCGTTCTAATGCATGTAATTACATTTAATTTTAATAGTTAGTACTTTAAAATCTTTAATCAAGTGAAGTTTTTCAACAGTTTCTTATAGTCGTATACTAAAATTATTCCAGTCCCTTTAAAATATCAGATCTCTGAGTTCTAAACACAGGAACCTAAGAAAATGAGTTGATACCGTTGACATGGCTCAAATCAGCATGAGTGATTTACAGCCAGAGGGAATGTGCACAAAAGAGGCTGTCACTTCCTTGTTGGAGGAAAAAGCTCGTTTCAACTAGTTTCACGATCCCATGACACCTGGCCAAAGAACTACAGGAAAAAGTCGAGGAAGCAAATTCAAGTATCTCAAACCTTAAATATTTGGTAAATAGCAACTGTGGGGACCTGGAATTGGCCACGCCAAGATATGTCTCTTTGGCATCAGGATTATTTGAGGCTGATTGCTTTTGATAAACTGGGACAGGCAAGGAGGCTCTGAGGAATGGAACTTGCCCTTTGTTAGGACACGTTTACATTTGTAAGGTAAATCTCTATCTGTAAAAGGTGCCTCCCTCTCTGTACCAGGAAGAAGAAAGGCGACGACCTACTCTCCAAAAACTCTTAATCAATACCAAAGGCAAGGACTTAAAATCTGCATTTTATTGTGCTAGTCTGGTAACCTCCTGTAACTGACTTCCCTCCCCCTCCCAACTTTGGCATTCCTTAAGGATTAAGCATCTTTCCTTAGGCTAGGAACCGATTGCTTCTGCGCTCACCTGTGACCGCCCAGCTCCAGACATAGACTTGCCTCCTGCTATGCCCACCGAGATAGCAGACCATTACCTGCTGTGTCCATCAAGCACTGTGCCAACAGGGCAATCTTGTGACTATTGTGGGAGGGACATTTCAATCACATGTGAAACACCCCGTTTGGGGGCTATATAACCACTCTGTGCACCCCACTTCTTCGGTGCCCTTTCTTCCTTTGGGAAGAAAGGCCCCGGGCCATGGTTCCTCATAAAGCTTTGTTTAATTTTCTCTTGCTATTCTGTCTCATGTGAATTTAATTCGTTCTCCAGCCAGACGAACCCCCATTTGGAGAGAGGAAATGTCCTCCTCCCCAACACAACAGACAAAGCAGCCAGCGCTAACGTGAAATAATCAGGGCCAAGTTCAAAAGAAACTGAATACATTTTTTCATTCAGAAGCCTATTTTTCTTTTTCTCTTCCTTTTCATCTTACATTATATAGTTTTTTCCAACTGTCATTCTGGAATAGATAATTACTATCATTCAAGAGCAAATAGCCAACCTACGTTTTCTGGAGATAGAAGTAAAGAGTTTTTGGAGAACTCACTCAAACTCAAACAGTGGTGGAAACATAAAACAATTAAGCTGGATAACAAGTGTCATAGATCTGAGATTTCTTTACTTAATACTTCAAATTCATGGAAATTTCATGAGAAATTCATTACTTTCCTGCAATTAATTTCTTTGACTTTTTATTCCTGACAAATCAAGAAACTAAGGCAGACATGAAAGAAGCACCAGTACTTTCATCTGCTCTTGGACTAAAGCCTTTTTGTTCATTAATAATTTCTAACATATAATGTATTTTATTCATGTAATACCTTATAATTTACTAAGAGCCTTCACACACATCCACACATTTTACACTTCTTGCAAAACTGAGGAAAATATTTTATATGTATATAATCAAATATTATGAGTGTTAAATCTATTAAGCAGATGATAAAATTGAAGCTCAAAGAGATCTGTGTGACCTTCTGAAATAATAAGACTTACAAATGGTAGAACCAGAACTCTCTCTCTGGAGACTCTCAAAATTCATTAGTTTTTCCAATATACTACAGTAAATGTGTGCATTTTAACACAGATGCCAAAACCATCACCAATTATTAAACCTCTTATCCTACTCTTCAATATGATTCATAATTATTAATCTGGTAAACAATAAATAGCATCCACTTACAGTTAAATAGAAAATGCTCTAATACCCAAACCTAATTTTGGAGTACCAGTTTACTCCACTCTGTTTAAATTCTATGGCATTTTGATGGATGAAACTGGCAACGCTCACCTCTTTTTGACGGTACTTAATGGCCAATTTTAGTCTTGCGAGATCATTTCCACTTTGTTCTTCTATGAGACTATTGTCATCTCGGTAATTAAGAATGATTTCCAGTTCTCTGGAACTTCTTGTCTGATCCAGTAGGTCCTTAGCAAATTGTTTGCACTGTCGTGACAGCTCCTCATACTCTGACTTGAATTCATTTTCCACCTTACTCAGTTCCTGAAGCTCCCAACTTAACTGAAAGGCTGTGAGAAAAGGATCTTCACTTGACAGTGCGATGAGAGAGGGACTGGCCAAGGCCTTGTAGATGTTGAGTCTGGAGCGTGAGTGGCGGAGGCTATCCACATCTGAGCTGGAGACGCATTCAACACAGTTACAGCGGACCTCATGGGGTCTGGGTACCGAGACTCCTTTTTGAACTAAAAGTTTTATTATCTCATAATTATTTGTATGGGCTGCCAAAATGATTGGTGTAATGTCCGGAGTGAATTCAGAGAACTGCTTATCAAGGAGAATGGGAGGCACCTAGAAAAAAGAACAAAGCAGAGGTGAGGAATATTTACTCATTTGTTCAAGCCCGTGAATTTCCAATAGCATGTGATATAAATGTTGAACAATGTTCATAAATCTTTTGCCAGGTTTTTTGCAGGAGAGATATGGCTTTTTTCCCCACAAAAAACAAGAAAAACATTATAGAAGAAATCACTTTCCAATTAATGATACAGTATTCTTTCTTTAATCTGAATTATGACATTTTATGAAGTCTCAAAATCAGTGGCTATGGAAACTCTTTGCTTGTTAAAAGACTTTCTTGCTCCCAACTTATTTTCCAACTGACAATCTTTGCTTTTTTTCCCCAGAGATGTTGACTCTCTAAATAAGAAATACACTGAAAAATAGTTAATGATTTGTTTTAAAACCAAGCTTTTCCTCTGCCATGGAAGTCTTTTAATTCCTCAGTCAGCTTTGCTTGTCATTTGTTGGGTTTTATCTTCTGCATTCCCAACATCCAGCTTATGATTAAAGGCAGTAGCAGAAATGACTTCTGTTTTCATCTATCCCTTTATGGTATATTTTCCAGATGATAAAGCTGCTCCATTGTTAACACTACTGTTTCGTTAGAAATAAACAATCTGAATGAAGTTCCCAATGAATCAGGTCAGCAGTGTGTTTAGGCACAATTTCCTTTGGGTTATACTCTAGGAATGGCAATGACAAAATAATTCAGTAGGCACTATTTAGTAAGCATCTGCTGGGTGCATTAACCCTTGCCATTTATTATTCACATTTTACAGATGTGGTCCCTCAGAGAGTAAGTGGAAGGCCTGCTATTTAAAGCCAGATCCACCTGTCTGGCATCCGAACCTGGATATATCGCACTACACCACATTGCTTTCCAATTTTTGGTTTAATATTTCCTCCTGCTGGCACGAACTCACAGTGGCACCTATGAAAAGAAATGCTACATAAGGACAAGTTAAAAAGGCATGGCAGAGAAAATGATGGCACACATCACAAGAAAATATGCTGCTGGTAAAATATGAAGGAAACCGCAAAAGGATCAAAAGAAAAACAACCATGTGGAGAAAAATGATACTCATATGAAACTTCAATTACACTGCTTTTAAATAGAAGTATAATCTTTGTATGTGAATAATTAAACCTACATGTTTTAAATTCATAGGGCCATTTAGAATATTCATTTGTTTTATAAGAAACACTATATAAAGATCAAAGGGCTGAAGTTATCTATTTAAAATGTATGCAATCAGTTGATAATGAAGATAGTAACAAAAACTATTTTTAAAATGTGATTATAAATAAGAGTGGAGCCACACTGCCTGTTGAGATGATATTTTACATTTGAGCAAGGTCAATGTATACTTCATTACTTTTTAAGTAAATATCTTTCATTTTAAATATAGCACTAACTGAAAATTCAATTATATATTTATTACAAAAAGAAAAATTCCATTATTCAAAACTGAACACGAGGTGATCTTTAACTGTACTTTAAGTTTTTTCTATGGCAGACATTTAGGAAAACAAAACAATATAAGGAACTAAGTTCATACAATAAAAGTATATTTAAGTGACAGAGATGCAATTTGTAGGGGTTTTCTGGATTCCATATAATTTCATCCTTGATTTTTCTGCTCGTTTTTAAACTGTCAATAATTTAAAATTTATTAACCATAAAAATGCAACTTTAAAGAATATTTCAGGACATTTTATGGAAAAAATAAGAATAATATAGTCATACTGAAAAGCATTCATTTGGGGCCAGCCCAGTGACTTAGTGGTTAGTTTTGCGTGCTCTGCTTTGGTGGCCCTGGGTTCATGGGTTCAGCTCTCGGGCATGGACCTGCACACAGCTCATCAAGCCATGCTGTGGTGGCATCCCACATACAAAATAGAGGAAGATTGCCACAGATGTTATCTCAGGGCCAACTTTCCTCACCAAAAAAATAAAAAATGAAAAAGTCATACATTTTTCAGAAAAATACGAGTGTCATAGTGTTAGAGAGAGAGATGGTTAAATAATAAAAATATGAGACTACACCAAGAATAAATATTTTTGCCTTTTAATACTCAATAAATCATCGTAAATCTTTAATTGCTTAATATATGAACATCACTAATTTTATCTTTTATAAGAAAGGAACTTAATTTTTGAAAATAATTTTAATAGAACTATTTTACAGGATTGCCAATATAATATGAATTTATTGATCAATAAATATTTTTAAAATTATGCCATTTTAATTATTTTAGAATTTCTTCTTACTCTAAAATGTGTTCTAAATTCAACAATAAATTATATGTTGTCTTTACCATTAATTGCCTGATGCTTAGCTGGTCATAGACCACTAGACATTGGCAAGTGTTTGGCCTTAGGGATCCTGCAAACAAGAGTCTGCTGGGACCCTGACCAGTCCAGCAGGTACACATCAGTGTTTATCCAGGTCCCAGAGGACAGGCATGGGGTCTCCTCCAATTCCGTTAAAAAAATAACAACAAAACAAAAACACTTGGGACCTGCCTGGTGTCGCAGCAAAGTTACACGTTCCTCTTTGGCTGCCCCGGGGTTTGCCAGTTGGGATCCTAGGTGCGGACATGGCACCATTTGGCAAGCCATGCTGTGGTAGGCATCCCACATATAAAGTAGAGGAAAATGGGCATGGATGTTAGCTCAGGGCCAGTCTTCCTCAAGAAAAAGAGAGGGATTGGTGGCAGATGTTAGTTCAGGGCTAATCTTCCTCAAAAAAAAAAAAAAAAACACAAAACAAATTACCCATTATTGAGTATTAATTATATGCCTGCATGAAGTATTACAGAGTGTTTGAAAATTGGGGGTTTTCTTATTCTATCATCACTTCTATATTTACTAACTTGCATTTTTCTGTATGTAAAATCTTGCCCTCTTCTCCTTTTCATTATTGAGTATTACTAACGGACCCGTGGGTTCTTCCTTTATTTTATTCAATATATTGTGATTCATTGCCATGATTATTCATTTTAAGTTTGTCATGAGATATAACATACATACAGTAAAAATACGTGAATATTACTATATAGGTTGCTACTTTTTTAAAACATCGACACACCTGTGTGACACGACCCAGATAAAAATCCAGAAGAACATCTGCACCTCAGGAACCTGTCTTCTCTGTTCCCAGTCACATTTTGTGATCACAAATGTGACTGCTAGCACCATAAATTACTTTCAATTAGTTTTTAGCTTTATATAAATGAATCACAGAATACGTAGTTTTTATGTCTTTCTTGGTTCAACATTAGCTCTCCAAAATACATTCATATTGTTAGAAGCAATCATTTTTATTTCAATTCTGCATCATATTTTGATTTATGTATTTAGCAAAATTTATTTATCATTCTATTTTCCATGACATTTGTGTGGTTTCCAGTCTGGGGCTATTAGAATATTGTTCTTATGCATATTTTTGCCCATGTCTGTTGGTCTTGTATCTAAGAATGGAATTTCTGGGTCAAATAGTTTTCTTAAGCAGTTATCCAAATTTTTATTTCCACTAGAATATATACTTGGTATTGCCAATTATCTATCAATCCATTTATCTCTGTATTTATTTATGCCATTCCTTATGTCATGCAATCATTTTTAATTGTTTTATTTATTTATTCTCTGGAATGGATGTTGAATTTTTGTCTAAGGTCTTTTCTGCTTCTAAAGAGAAAATTACATAATTGTTCTACTTAGTCCTAGAAGTATGGAAAATTATATTAATGAATTTCTTAATATTGAAATATTCTGGCTTTCCTGAAAGAAACCCTACTTGGTCAAGTATGCAATATTCTTAGCGTGGCTAATATTTTTATTTAGATATTTTGTATCAGTGTTCACACTGATTTTTACTGTGTGCAGCTGATGCCATTTCTATGGAGTGAAGTCATGGAACCAGATTTCTGAGCTTTCCAATGTGCAACTAGATCAAGCTCAGATGGCAAATGAACAGGCAATCACAGAAGGAGAAACAATGGAAGATAAAACAGACTCCTCATTTTTTTGCTCTTAAGAACTAATCTTTCTCAAGAAAGACTAAACTACCACCCCATATCCTTACTTTTTTGTTATTGAGATGTATGAGTTCTTCATATATTTTGGATATTAACCTGTTATCAGATATATGGTTTGCAAATGTCTTCTCCCAATTGTTAGGTTGTCTTTTTGTCTTGTTGATGGTTTCCTTTGCTGTGCAGAAGTTTTTTAGTTTGATGTAGTCCCATTTGTTTATTTTTTCTACTGTTTCCCTTGCCCAGTCAGACATGATACCTGAAAATACACTAGGACCCATTTTTTCATTGCTAACTTTCTCTGGATCTCCTTTCAGGTAGTCTCAGGGTTATAATCTTTCACCTATAAGCAAAAGATCTTTGGGATGTGCATAGACATAAATTCCCCAGCCCTTTTCCTTAGATGGCTGGTGCATTTAGCTCATTCCAGGTATAGGTCCCAGGCTTACAGATTTGCAGCTACTCAAATAAAATAGAAAATAATTCACTAAATCTTATAATAAATCAAGTCTCCCTAAGGTGAGTCAGAATAAAGCATAAGGGAAATTAATTTAGAGAAGAGAGATTATTTTTCCTTGGTAGAACTAGAAAAGGAGTTGGGGAGAAATTTATACTTATGGTTGATTGGACCTAGTGATGTAGAAAAGTTACAGGGAGACTAGGCTGGACATAAACAGAACTAAAGAATCTAAAGTTCTGTTCTAACGGCACATTTGCAAATTCTAGCACTGAAAGTAGACTTTCAGAAAATCTTAAATCTAGTTGGGGCCAATGACCCTTCCCCGCTCTCTGTCCTTTAGCTGGCCATCAATAAGGATTGACAAAGCACACTTCGTACCAACTTCACTTTGCAGGGAAGGTGAGATGGGTGATATTGAAGCCATGGAGAGGGAAGCAAAGAGCTGTGGCTCAGAGACTCCCAATTGCCCAGCTCCTGCAGCTGAGACACGTATCAATTGATTATCAACTTT